TTTATTTGATTTTTTATTTATTTATTTATTGTTTAGTCTGAGTTTTAGTAAGGGTCGTCAATCTCTTCTGTATTTTGTTTAGTTTATGTTCGTGCTTTGAATAGTCATTGCTACATTGATATCAAAGTTAAGTTTACCTCCTTAATTCCGCAAATTCTGCCGTTCGAATATGGTTCTTATTGTTTTATCTGCCATATTTTCCAGTTTTAATTGTGTCCATTTTCCCCACACAGAGATAATTCTATTAATAATATTAAATCCGAAGTCCTAAGGAATATTTACTTTTAGTTCGTATCATTTTGATATTAAACTTTCTAGACATACTTCGTTGCAGACATTATGCAAATTGGAGGTACAGTATCCGTAGAATTATGATAATCGTTAGCAAAGTAACTTTTGAATTCATAAACTTCAGTCGTATAACGAATCTATTTTCGTGTTACTGATCTGTCTAATCATCTGTCAATAGATAGATGGATAAATAGCTATTAGGGTAAATAAACATAAATAAATAAACATATTTGCCACACGCAATACGTACACCATACCATCAGACGGTTGTTTGCAGCCACCCTTGGCCTCTTCTGTAGTCACAATCATCCAATTACATCCATCTGAAGACGACATGATTCACAGGCAGCGCTCCCTGACGCCATGAGCAGGCACCCACTCCCAGTCACCTTCGAGGAGGTCCCCGCCGAGGTGGTCGCCAGGCACTCCTCCAGGGGCTTCTGCTACAAGAAGAAGATGGTGCGCACGGTGCCCGGGAGGTTTTCGCTCTCGGAGGCGTGAGTTTCCACTTCTGGTTTTCCTTAATGTTTTGGTTGTTATTTCACTTTCGTTTGATGGTTTGGCAATTCTTTAGGTATTTAGAAGACTGGCTTGACATTTTTTTTTCTATAAAGCAAGCTTCTTAAACATATCATAGGGTTTTAGATCTACATGTAATTGTAAGAGGATCAAAGAAAATTCATGAACGAACGTAAAAAAGTGAAATGGAACTTTTACCTTTTGGTGTTTATCCACTATAAGTACGTCCATCTCATAATATGGACGTTGACTCGTAAATAAGGAAAAAAAAACTTTCATTATTAATGTATTTAACCTAAATATGTAATGTCAAACGTGATCAGTTGGACAGTTCAGCTTTCGATTTTCTGTGCCCCCCCCCCCACCAGTATCTGAAAATCACTATGGGTCTTATCAGTGCCTATAATCCTTTCAGATTCAATTCTTATTAATCATGAAGAATGTAATGGTGCCATTATATGTATGGGGTAAAATCAACTTGAGAAAAAATCCAGCTTAATAGGTGGAAGATTATCCATGGGTAACGCGTTAGAAGAACTGCATGAAAAGTAAATTGAAGCGATCCTTGAAAATGTCTCATGGACGCCATATTGTAAACCCGTCGAAAGTTACAGTCTCTTCGATACATTTTCTAAGTATCAAGTTCACATATACCTTACAGGAATATGTATAACACTTCCCCGCTTCAAAATAACAAGTTATGCAAATCCAGTAGAGTATTTTCCCACTTCAAAATAATAATAATAATTTGATAGGCTTTCTCTTTACCTTAAAATAACATGAAAAATTGATGCCCATATTTTTACCTCAAACTAACACATATATTCGGCAGTCTTTTCCCCACCTCAAAATAAAATGTAAATTCGATAGGCATTTCCTTACCTCAAAACAGCATATATAAACCCTATCCACATTCCCTAACCTGAAAATAAACATTAATTCGATAGGCATATCCTCACTTCAAAATAAAGCCACGCATAAATCCGCTACACGGTATATAAATCCGACAACCTTTTATTTGATATCAAAGACACCCAGGGAATACTGAGACAGGCAAAACTTTCAGGTATTTGAAACTTGCCGACGCTCACTACAACTTCGAATTTCGGAGCAGCGACGTCGTGTTGTTGTCTTACCCCAAGAGCGGTACAACATGGGCGTCGGAACTATTATGGGCGATGATGAATATCGACCATCTGGACTCCATGGAGAAAAAGAACATTCATGGTAGAGCCTTTTACTTAGATAAGGTTAGTTATTTTATCAATTAGTAGATCATTTTATATTATGGTTATCATTATAATGAATCGCTGTTTGATGTATTTATTTGAGTACTAATAAGCCAATCTAAGGAAAATATCATAAATTTTCACTACCTCTGTTTTTAACGAAAATATATGATGACACTACATCATTATCAGTAAGGCAAGCATAATAACACTGAAGACTTGCGAATTTCACTTAGTCATGGAAAGATTCATTTATGTTTTATAAGAACTATCAAAGCTGTATAGAAAAAAAGATTAAATACTCTGTAGTTAAAATGAAATAGTCTCATGTATATTACCCACAATACAAAGCATGGCATTTCCTCTATCACGACTCCTTATTATTATTGAAAAAGCGTATGGATCGTTTCATTCTAATAACAAACCACCGCTCGAAACCAGCCTCATCTGCCCTCCTTTTC